CCCGGAAGGGCTTTCTTCTGTCAGTGCTCACTGGCCGTCCTGACTCCATTCGCTGCTTCTGCTCCCCCTGCCCTCGTGGATCGGTGGCCAATGACCCGCGAAGAGAGGGAGAGACCCCCGCAATGTTTATCTGCAGTTAAATTAATCATTATAGGTCAGCTTTGATCTTCGAAAGCAAAGGGTTCACAGAGCTAAGCTGCTGTGATCTGTGTGTGAGAATGTCCAAGCTCAGCAAGCACCCAGAGAACAGTCACTGCTCTAACCTTTCCTTGTAGAAATTCAATGAAGCTTTTCTTCTCATTTATACTTTTCAAAAGTTTGACTCATAAAACTGGGAGAAAAAATATTAAACTAAAACATCAATAAGATTATCTTTTTCAGCGATGAGGATGGCACAGGTATGCATATAGGGTAATTATATCCAAAGTAGAGGTGAAATGAACACTTACTTCCTTATGCCACTGACACAAATGTAAGTTAAAACAACCAATCTAAAAGTAAACTTGGCAATATGCTATCAAAACTAAAATATGTATTTATGGTCTCTGACCCAGCAATGACGTACCTAAGAAATTACTCTTGGAAAATAATTGTGGGTCAGGTAAGTCTCTCCCCAGAAATCCAGCAATAAGAATATTTACTAATGTATTACTTGCAAAACAGAGAAAAACACAATCTAAATATCAATCAGATATTTAGACTGATTGGACTCAGTGGCTCATGTCTATAATCCCAGTATTCAGAAAGCTGAGACATGAGGAGTGCCACAAGTTAAAGATCAGCCTGCACAACATAGTAAGTTTCAGGTCAGCTTGGTCTATACTGTAAGACTGATCAAAAAAGTTTAAAAAGTAAAAATTTAAAATTTAAACCCAAAGCATCACTCTTAAGTCAATTATGATGTATCTCTAATATAGAATACTATGTTGTCAATGATGACATATCAACAACAACCTCAACAGCAACTAGTAATGAAAGGTTTACTGTGTGATAAGCATTACTGTAAGTACTTTACATATACTAAGACATTCAATACCAAACAAAATATAAACTGTCATTCTCACTTTAGAGATAAGGAAAAAAGAGACTGGGGCAGAGGTTGAAGTGAAGTAACATTATTTAATTTGCCTCAGGTGGCACAGAAAATAAAGGACACGTCATGAACTCAAACACTGAATTCCAGAGTCTGTGTTCTTGGTCACTCAAATATCAATCAAGAATCGTTAAAGATATGGAATTTGTTCCATTGTATTGCTAAGGAAGAAAAACTAAGTTGTGAAAAAAGAAAGAAGTGTGAGATAAAGAGGAAGGAAGGGAGAGAAGATATTTTTTAAAAACGATAAGAATATAATGAACATTTTAGTGTACCTCTGCTAGTTTTGAGTATGTATGACTTATATGTCCCAATTTTTTAATGTATTAGATTGATAAGCACATAGCAGTGATTGAGATAATAAAACCAAAATGCACTCCATAGAGTTTTCAATGACAATAGCAAACTCCTGCAGTGTTTAGTATGTGCCAAAACTAAGGTAAGCACTTTGTACATACTAATTCGCTTAATCCTTATTACAAAATGCCAGCAAAGGAGCCTGGCAAACACTTGAGTTCCCACTACCAATTTTATAGAACTGATAATGTCTCCTCCTTTACCTGGACTCTTCGCAGATGAGCCACACGTTCCTCTATGGAGGTCTGCAAGGCCAAAGGGACTTTCAGAATCTCCTGGTAATTGTCCATCAGAAATGTTACCAACCTAGCAGCTAGTAACTCATCCAAGTCTACTTCATCCTTAGAACACAAGATGCACCGGGAAAATGTCTGAACCATCTTTAAAAAAAAAAAAAAAAGGCAGAGAGAGGGTAAAAATAAACGCAAGTGATTGCTTTGTTGTCTTCCCTGAACTGAGTGCAAACTAATTTACAAAAGGCAAATGCGAAGGATTGTGAGAAGTGGCCCAAGGCACAGGGTGTACATCCATTCCACCAGGCACCTGGTCGCATCTGGCTGTCTCATCAGCCAGCAGAAGGAAATATGAATCTCCCATTTAAGAGACCTAGTAGAGAGACACTTATCTTAGGAATTGTTTAAAATTCCTCCTTTTGTGTAAGGTTTTATATCCTTCTATCCTAGTTTGCTTTCCACTGCTGTGATAAAACACTGACCAAAACCAAGTTGTGGGGAAAGGCTTTATATTAGCTTACACTCCCTTGTCACAGTCCATCACTGAAGGAGTCAAGGCAGGAACCCAGAGGCACGTATTGAAGTGGAGACCCTGGAGACCACTGCTTATTGGTTTGCTTTCTTTGGCTTGCTTGGTTATCTTTCTTATAGAGCCAAGGCTCACCTGCCCAGGACTGGCACTGCCAGGGGACTGGGGCCTCCACATCAACTACAATTAAGAAAATGCTTCACAAACATGGCCACAGGCCAGTCTGATCTGAGAAATTCTTCTACTGAGGTTCCTTCTTCCCAGGTGACTCTAGTTTGTGTCAAGTTGACAAAAACTAACTGCACACTTGCATGCATAACTACACCCCCTCCCCCGAAAATTACGAGGACCATGAGTTGACTCCTGTAGCACATTTAATTTCAAAGTACTTCATGGTCATTTGGTCAAATAATATCCCAATTTCATTACTGTTCTTTTTTAATCTGTATACTTCAACCATTATATCTTTTCCTGGATAGCTTATTTTCCCAAAGATTTTAGATGTGCATTTGACAATCATCTTTGAACAAAGAAGCTATACAATAAGTGATGAGACTCTTTATGGTAACCAGAAATATAAGTATATAACTAACATAAAATAATATAATTTCCATAGAATTCATTTGACTACTTCATTCTTAATTTTACCCTCTGGATTTTCTTTTTTCCTTTTCTTTCTAGTTAACAATCTGATATCAAAACCTACTGTCTACGACTAGTTTTCATCAATACACTGTAAATGTCACTTTATCTTCACTCAAATTTATGTGTACAGAAAGATACAGGCAGAAATTTTCACTTAGAGACAATAGATTTCAGATCTATGAATGCCTTGAAATTATACACAAAAATTTACACTTTTATGTATGTATTGATGTAGGAAGAAGAACAAAGTTTTCTTCCACTTTTCAGAAAGTTTCATTAGCTCAAAAAGGGATCACAAGTCACCCCACCATGCACTGCATGCTCCCTCAATCTGACCCTATGCTTCTCTAAAGCTGGGGCAGGGGATGCCCAGGAAGTGAACAGCAGCTTATAAGAACACGGGAAGAACATGCATGGCACTGGAGAAGCAATCTTGCTGCAAAATTCCTTTGTGAGAAAAATGGAGATTTTGTTCATACGTACATTCTAAGCATATGCTGTTTTAAAGCACATGCTCACAGAAGCAGAATATGTTAAGTAGCAATCAGTCATGGGAAGAAGGGGTTGGGGGAAGAGAAGATGCCGATTAAAGAGTGCAAAGCTCCACCTAGGTGTAAGTTTTCAGAACCTATTGCACAGCAACCATGACCATAATTAATAACAATGTATTATTTGTGTCAATACTGCTGAAAATTTTGACTTTAAATAAATAGGTGATGGACATGTTAGTGTGAATTAATTTTTTTAATTTATTATTTTTATTTTACTTTATGTGCATGTGTGTATTGCCTGCATGTATGTAAGTGCACCTATGTTGTGCAATGCCCACAGAGGTCAGAAGAGGGAGTTGCATTCCTGGAACTGGAGTTATAGATGGCTATTAACAACCATGTGGGTGCTGGATCCTCTACAAAAGCCACTAGTGCTCTCAATGGCTGAACCATCTCTCCAACACCTTGAATTAACTTTGTTTATAATGAATACATATATCAAAACAGCACATTGTGTACATAAATGTATAAAATTTTTGTCAATTAAAAATAAAAATTTCTATGCCAGGAATGACTTTAATCCCAGTACTAGAGAGGCAGAGGCAAGTGGATCTCTGTGAGAGCAAGACCAGCCTGGTCTACATAGTGAGCTCAAGATCAGCTGGGGCTATAGGGAGACCCTGTTTCAAAAACAAAGAAAAAATGTTTTTTTCTAAAAATCAGTGTAAGGAAAGCCACATGCTGACATTACAAAGTAGAAACCAAAATTTAGCAAGTATTTTTAGGCAAAACTAAGAAATATTATCATTCATGGACCCTTGGGCCACAGCACGAGATGCAGGCTCTCTTCTCCCTAGTCTAGCTGTACTTCCTCTCTCTTTAATCTGCTATATATGCGGCATCTCTCTTGATAGGCTAACCAAGGCTTTGCAGTGTTTCTGTGCTGCCATTGGAGAGAATGTGGTTTTCTGATTCTGTCTGTCCACCTTCGTTCTCTTTGTGCTGACAGTAGGTATCCATCAATCAAATGGTAAGAACGGCTAGAGCAGCTATCTCCACATGACAGCAGCCTGCTTTTGGCTCCCTCTTTACTTTCCATTATGTTCTTCAAAGTCCTTACACCAAAAGTACAATATCAATCTGTGATGGCTGGCCTCCTCGCTCTTCAGGTCTCCCTTGCACTTTCCTCTGACTGTCCAGAATAGGAAAGCTGACTCAGTCAGGTTTCAGTCTGAAAACACAAGTCACAATACATGCTAACAATCAACCTACCAGTGTCCGGGTGCCAAAGCCATCACACAGTGGTGGCATCTCTTCGTTTAAGCAGATCCTTGCCATCATCCTCATCAACAGCTGTAACTTTCTCCTATTTTCAGGAGGCAGAAGGAGACAACAAATCTGAAATGCTTCAATTGCCATTTTCTCTTTCTGTAACAAACCTGATTCAAAAGAGATGTTTCTTTTAAAGCAGTCTGCTCCACTCTGTATGTTTGCATCTTCACAAATACATATTATTAAAATCATATAAAATAGTTTCACAGATTCAACTATGCCTGGCCAGGTACAATACAGATACACTGTGACTCACAAATTAGCACAGAAAATGCAAACCATCAACCAGGGATGAGATGTGGAATAAACACAGCCATTTCCCCTTCTGTCCACAACCATATAGACAGAGCGACATATTCACAGTGCTTTCCCACTGAATCAGGAGCAGTTCATCTGGCACTAAAACCTAAACCCAAGAACTTACAAAGCTATCAAGAATATAACAATATATAATACATCACAACAGAATGAAGGACAACTGTAATCATCCCAAATTCAGAAGACATCTGATAATATTCACCATCCTTTCATGATAAAATGACTGAACAAATTAGGAATAGAAGGACCACACCCTAACATACTAAGGGCCATTTACAATAAGAAATGGATGGGAGATGGCTCAGTGACTAAAAGAGCTTGCCACACAAGCCTCATGACCGGAGTTCAATCCCTGGAACCCATGCAAAAAGCCAGATGCCCTCTGTAAGCACTCCCACAGTGCAATGGGAGCGGAGAAGAACCACCCAGAAGCTCACAGGCTAGCTAGTCTGAAGTATACAGCACATAAATGAGACTCTGCATCAGAAACAAGGTGGAAGGAGAGAACTGACTCCCTAAAATTGTCCTTTGGTCTTCATACACATGCCATGACATACGCACCCACTTTCTCTCTCTCTCTCTCTCTCTCTCTCTCTCTCTCTCTCTGTCTCTCTCTCTCTCTGAAAGAAAACAAAATACAGAAAGAAAAAAAGAAAAGAAAGAAGGAAAGAAAACTTTAAAAAGCACTTTATTAAAAAGAGAAAGAGATACCATTATACTAATGGGGAAAACTGGAAGCTTCTCTAAGCCTGAAACCAGACAAGGATGCCTACTTCCACCACTTTTATTCAACATGGCTGTGCAAAACGAACCAAGATTACACTACCTGACTTCAAAGCATACTAGAGAAAACTACAGTAAACAGTAGTAAAGTAGCATAGTATTAGCATAAAAACAGACACACAGACAAATGGAACAGAATAGAGCCATGCCCTCGCAGCCAACTGGTTCTCAACAAAAGTGCTAAGAACACATACAGAAACAAGGACAGATGATCCAACAGTGCTGGAGACTGGACAGCCACATACAGAAGAGTAAAACTAGATCCCTCCTCCTCCAAATGGACAGAAACTTAAATGTAAGATCTGACACTATTAAATTTCTAAAACAAAAGATGGGGGTGCTTCAGGACATTGGAATAGACAATGATTTTTAATAAGACCTCCAAAAGCACAAGAAACAAAAGCCAAAACAGGCAAGTGGGATCCATTAAACTTCCTTTGCTGTGCTCCCACACAGCAAAGGAAGCAGCAAGCAGAATGCACAGGCAACCTACAAATTGGGAGAGTCTATGCAAACCGCATGCTGTGGTTTGGGCCTCTGAGCGTCTTCCAAAGGCTTATTTCCCAGCCTGTGGTTCTGCTGACAAGTGGTAGAATCTTTTTTAGGGTGTGGGATCTAGTAGAAGGATGTTAGATTATTGGTGAAATGTTCTTGTAGGGGAAATCAGGACCCTACACCTTCACTATATGTCTATTGTAGCACTATTCACAATAGCTGAGAAATAGAAATAAGCTAAATGCTCATAAATGGATAAACAGATAAAAAAAATTACACACACACACAGGGCTATCATGTGGCCACAAGATGAATGAAATCCATATAATTTGCAACAACATTAATGAATCTAGAGATCATTAGGCTTTGTTTGTTTATTGATATGTTTGAGACAGGTCTTGCCCAGAATGACCTGGAATACCCTATGTAGCATAGGCTGGCCTCAAACCCACAGCAATCCTCCTGCCTCAACCTTCCAATTCTGGAGTGACAGGCATGAGCCTCCATGTCCAAAGGAGATTATTATGTTATATAAAGTAAACTAGGAATAGAAAGGCAAGAGCCTCATGATCTCAATTATACACAGAATCTTAAAAAAAGTTCATCTCATAGAAGAGGAGAGCAAAATGGTACATGCCACAGGCCAAGCAAAACGGTAGGGGGTTGATCAATGTGTACTAAGTAGAAGTTAGATAGGACTAGAAAGTTCAGGAATGCTATTGTATAGTTAAGTGGCAACAAATAATAAAGACTAGCTCTAGGTCAAGTGAGATGGCACAACAGGTAAAGGTGCTTGCCACCAAGCCTAATGATCTGAGTTCAATTCCTAGGATCCACATGAGGGAGGGCAAGAACCAAAGACTAAAAGTTTTTGGTCTTCTGACCTCCACATGCATGCTGTGATATGCATGTGCGTGCACGCACACACACACACACGCACACACACACACACACACACACAAACACACACACACACACACACATGAATGAATGAATGCAATTAAAAATCGAAACTAGCTCTACTTCATCACCAAAACTTAGTACTGTCAGTTACTTTGATTTTAGCAATTCTAGTACATACATAGTAGAACTTCACTGTGACTTTAATTACATTTTCCAAAGGATTAATGATGCGAACATCGTTTTGTGTGCTTATTAGGAAATCATCTCTCTTTGTATAATGTCCATTAAAAGTCCTTGCCCTTTATTTGTATTAATTGTCTCATTACTGAAGAGTTCTGTATATAGTCTAGTGTATTAGTACCTTTATACATCACTATGACAAAACGCCTGATATGAGCAACTTAAGGAAGAAAGGGTTTACATTGGTGGTTCACAGTCCCATCACTGGAGGTGGAGGTGGTGCAGTGGGAACTTGAGTCAACTGGTCACAGTGTCCTCAGGAAGCAGAGACATAAATGGCTGTGCTCAGTTCACTTTCTCCTTTTTATTCAGCCTGGGACCAGAATGGTCCTGCTCATAGGATAGGTCTTCTCAACTCAATTACCCTCAACTAGATAATCCCTCACAGACAGAAACTTGTTTCCATGGTGAGTCTAAATCTCACCAATTTGACAGTCAAGATTAACTATAACATCTGGCTTCAAATACTTCTCAGATATACAATATGAGTGTGTTATTCTACTTTCTTTTTCTTTTCTTTTTTTGGTCTTTTTGAGACAGGGTCTCCCTGTAGCCCCAGCTGTCCTGGAACTCACTAGGTAGACCAGGCTGGCCTTGAACTCACAGAGATCCGCCTGCCTTTGCCTCCTGAGTGCTGGGATTAAAGGCGTGCACCACCACACCCGGCCTTTTCATTTTCTTAATGGTATATATCACTTTAAAATATATTCTTATTGGGCAGGACATTTTCTTATGTCTTACGTTTTTATCGTTTTTGCTTAAATTTTAATAACTATAAATTCAAGCATACGGAAACGCCTTTGTCTTAGAAAACAAAAATTAAACAACAATGTATTTATGCTATCATTGCTGACCTGACCTTGTTTTGCAGACAGATGGCGGTTACATGGCCAGAGTATGAACAACAGGTATAATTCTGGTGGTTCTAAGAAGAGACAACACCATTGTTGACAAATATAATCTGTTGGTGGTGCTTGTGGAAAAGAAAATTCTGTTCATAAATTCTAACATGACTTACAGGCCAGAAGGGGAACAAAGCTAATGAAATGCCTCAACAGAGTTTGAATAAAGCACAGACTTTGAAAATTAGTTAAAACAGACATGTAAAACTAGGGTAGTATGTTGGATTATCTCAGGTTCAAAACAAACTACTGCAGCAATATCTACACACATTTCCAAGAATTTTTCCTTCCATCAGTAGGTGTTGGTAAACTTTACTTAGTTATTTTCTAATACAGATGTTAAGCCCCAAAGCCAGAATGTGAGAAAAGAAGAGAGATGGGACGAACCCACTCAGAAACTCTGCAGAGAGAGAAGGCCCTTTTCTTTTCTTCATTCTGAGAGACAGAGTATGCTGAGTGTATCTGACAACATACATTCTCAGGAACTTTTTGAGAGGAACATTTTCCAGGCCTACTAGACCTGAAATGGCCAGTCTGCACTTTTCTTCTAAGCCTCAACTTCTTTCTCTCCTCTACAACTTCTGACTGAGAGCCATGGGCCTTGTTGGTATGCATCTCAACATCACCCATGACCTGCCCATCTTTCTGAGAAGAAGGGCTGTCACAGTAAAAACCGCCTCTGGAAATGGTCTATCCCTATTCACACTGGGCATGTCTCCATTGAATGTGGTACGTACATGTTCCATCCCCACATCTTTCCCACTGCCATCCTAGTTATCACTGCTGCTATTTATGGGCAGCTCTACCCTGGAGCTGTTCAGGCCAGCTGGCAGGGGACAAAGGTTTGAGCTGTCCCACACTGTGGTACCTGTCCTTATGCAGGGGCATCAGTAGCTCAACAAAATGAGACAACACTGCTGGTAGATGAAGATTTGGGGGCATAGCAGAATAATCTACCATTCTCAGGCAAGAAGCCTAGTCTCCTTACCCCTCTTTTGACATTTCCTAATGGAGTCTCAAACAGGAGACGTTTCTAATTTTAATGAAATCAATTTGGTTGAAGTTTTATTTATTGTTGATTCTTTCTGTATGTTATGGTATCTTTGGCTACCCAAGATTGCAAGAATTCTCTCCTAAATTTTCTTTTGAGGGTTTTAGTTTTATTTGTTAAGTTTGAGTCTATGACCCACTCTAAGGTGAAGTTTGAACATGGGATGAAGAGAATACAAAGGTTCCCTTTTTCCCATTGTTCTAGTATCACTTACAGAAAATATTATCCTCCTCTTAATTTCTCTGTTAAAGAAAAAATCAGTTGCATACTGGTATAGGAAACTATTTTTGGACTTGCTCAAAAAAGACTGAACTATAAAGACTCTTAGGAGAGCCTGGAGGTCCCAGAAAGGCCAAGAGATTCATGTCTGTTGAACAAGAGGAGAGACTTAAGAATGACTAGGGAAAAAAAAAAA